CTGCTACTGCGAGTGAGTGTGTTGTTTTTTCTGGGGTTTTTTTGTATTCCCGGACTGCTGGGGCTGGGCAGGATGGGGGCTATCGGGGAGCGGGGAATGCATGGGGGGTTTTGCCAGGAGGCCCCAGAGCCCCTGCTACAGCTGGTGAGTGTGGGGTTTTTTTGTTTTGTTTTGTTTTGATTTTGGTTTTATTTTTTTTTAAGTGCTGGGAGTAGGCTGGACTGGGTGGGGTATACGGCCGAGCAGGGCAGCCATGGGGGCTTCTCCCGCAGCTCCCCCCACTCAGAGAAGGGCAGGCACAGCTGGAGGAGCTGCGGGAGAAGCTGTAGCCTCCCGGTTGTGCCTGCCTCTCCTGTACCGATTGGAATATCTCTGAATCGGCACCTATTCAGCCAAATCAGTTTCGGAAGAATCGATTCAGGACAGTGATCCAAAACTCTGAATTGATCACTGTCCTCCGAATCAGCCGAATCTGAACCTGAATACTTCCTTATTTGCAGAGGCCTAGTGTACAGCCCTGGGTCTGCAGACCAGATCTGTCCCGCAGAGCTATGTCATCCAGCCTGCGGGGAAGTCTAGGGTCAGGGGAGCAGTGGCAGTGTTATTTGTCACTCCTCTGTTGCCAGTTTTCCAGCTCTGTGGATGGGGGGGCCCCACGAGCCAGATAACTTGGCCCCACATGTCAGATTGTGCTGGCGTGGGGCTGATCCTTACGTGTGGGTTTAGGCTGGCAAGTTAATCGTGTGCCCCGATCCTTTACGAGATTCAGCCAGTGGACCAACCCCACACCACTCTTCTAGCCTGTAGGGCCAGAAGGTTGGGTACGCCTAGGGCAGTGGTGTTCAAACTTCTGGCCCCGTAGGCCACATGAGTGTTGCAAGATCAATCCATGGGTTGTATTTGGCATGTGGGGTCAGTCCATGGCTATGATATGGCATGCTGTGCATCAGCCTAACATTGCATGTGGTCTGATTTTTGTGGGCTGGATGCAGCCAATTGCCATCTTGATTCTGTGTGCCAGGACCTGCTGCACACTGGCACAACGTAGCATGTAGGGCCACATCATCCAGCCCATGGGTCTAGAAATTTGGCAGCAGAGGAGCTGCATTAATGCAGCCCCCCTGCCACCAAATATTCAGACCTGTGGGGATACTAGATGACAGCCTCACAAGATGAAGGTTGAGTACCCTAATCTAGACTTTTTTTATATACAGAATATTTTAGTTTTCATGTTTAAAATAGTAGGAGTTTAATAAGCAGTTGCTTAATACCTTCAGGATCTATTACAGATTGCTTACCTACATGGAGGTGAAATTTGCATGTTTTCTAAGTTTGAAACTTTGGTCATCATGGAGGAAACCTGGTAATTTCATGGGGATTCATTTGCTTTTTTTAGACTTAAGTGAATGGTATTGCAAAAAATCACTATTGGCACTTGTGGATGGAGAGGTCTGGGACATGTATCGGCCCTTAACCAAATCATGTGAAATTCAATTTCTTACTTTCAAAGATGAAAATCCGGAAGAAGTGAATAAGGTAAGTGACTATCTTATTTTTTTCTCTGATTTTTTTTTTTTTTTTCCTTTCATAATCTCGATTTTTAAATCCCATTGGTATCTGCTGAGAGATGAACAAGAAGTAATTACAGCAGTGAAATAGAAGTGTAGGGCCCAAATTGTCTAACCAGAAAGGCAATGTGAGTAGAACAGGCTAACAGAGGATGTTGTGGAAACCTCTTTCACAGATTTAAAACAGCAGGTTAGAAAAACAGTCATCATGGTATACTTTTATTTAGTTCATCACCTTTGCATTGAGGCAAAAATTTTTGATTCCTTCCTGTCACATATTTATATGATTTTGTGTATGCAAGATCCGTTTATTTTCCCCTGGTTTATAAGAATGAAGAGTAAAATCCTGGCTTTTAATACAGGAATATTAACTTTTGTTAGTTTGTTTTTTTCCTTTGGTATGTATTGTCATAGCATGTAAGAGCCCCAGTTGGGAAGCAGGATTCCATTCTGTCAGGTTCTGAATAGAAAGATGGCCTCTGCCTTAAATATACTTAAGTATAAGACAAGATACAGGAAGTGACTGCGCAAAAGACTGGAACAGTGCTGTGGATTCTTTTTCTTGGTGGGTCTTAGACTTTGGGGAGACTTAACTTTCAACTGCTTTGAAAGTGGAGGGGCCTGCTATTACAGCGTAACTTGTATCTGCATATCCTTGTGATATGAATGAACTGTGCCATTAACTTTTAATTCTGTTTCATTCAGAGCTGAAGTTAAAATTAGGTGTTCACAAATACATTGGTCTGATACCGGATCGGTACAGATAGAAGCAAATTGTCTATGTCAGATATCAGTCCTATGGGGCCGATAATTTGGCTGATAAATGGTAAGCCCCTAGCTGGTAAGTCAGAAGGGGAGGGAAGGGGCATGCGGGGGCAGGGGCAGGTGCTGTCGGGGTGGGGACAGGCACAGGTTGTGGGCTGGGGGTGGCTCCTGCTGCTGCTTGTATCCTGGGAGGGGTAATGGGGGGTAGGGGCGTGTGCCCCCAGATCTGGGCGGGGTGGGCTGCAGGTGCGGTGGAGCTGGTGATGGTGCTGCGCAGCTCTTCTTGCCAGGGCCTGGGCTTGGAGTGGGCTGCAGTAACGCTGTGAGGAAGCTGCAGCCACCCCAGATTTTGCCACAGCTCCGCTCCCAGCCTCACATTGCCACGTGGTGCAGTCCGGCTTTTCCTGGCGCTTGGGTGGAGGCAGGATGTTCAGCTGGGGCTGTGCCGGGGGGTGGCGCAGAGCTGGGAGTGGAGTTGTGGCGAAATTTGGGTTGGCTGCAGTCTACCAGTGCTGCCAGAGCCTGCTCCAAGCCCAGCTTCCGGCAAGAAGAGCCTTGCGCATCTCTGACTCTGGCCTCCTGCTGCCGCCTGCTCCATGCCATCCAGATCTGGGGGCACACGCCTGTCCCTGGCAAGCAGTGCCAGGAGCTGCCCCCACCCGATGAGCCCGCGCCTCTGTCCTGCGCACGTGCACTCCCCCCCCCGGCTGGGCAGCGCCTACCCCCTCCCTCACCACAGGGGTGTTGATGTGGCCCCCTATGCCCCTTTCCTCCCCTCTCCCCTTCCACCACACCAGACTTACCACCTGGAGGCAGCTGTATCTGATATTGGATCGGTATTAGCCGATATGCCTCTTTAAATATCAGCTATTAATGTCGGCCCTCCAAATCTTTATTGGTGTACCCCTAGTTAAAATGGTTTTGTAATTGCTTAATTAGATGGAGATGCAGCAGTTATGTCATAATGCCTTATAGCAGTATCAGATGATACCAGCATAATATTGTTGTCTACATCCCAAAACTCTTCTCTGTTTAATTTACATATAAAAGGACTTGAGTAGCATTTGCCATATACATTTCCACAGAGAGGCAGATGAGGGATGTTATTTGTTCAGCACAATAAAAAATGATAATGCTGTCACTCACTAAAAATGTAAACTTCAGTTAAAAAAAAAAAAAAGTGTAATGACTAAAGAGGACCTGAACTGGGTTACTCCTCCTTCTGCCTTTAAAAAGATGATCTAGTGCAGGGCCAGATGAGTGGCATGAGGTTGGTCTGTGGGCTGGGTAGGGTTTTTTCCCTTCCTCTCCCACCAGCGTACCTGATCTGGCAGCTGCTTCAGCTGGTGTGGGACCCACAGCAAGTATGATATGTTGTGAAGCTAAACCTGAAAATTTTAAGGTTATTGTTTTAACTGTTTCTGAATAAAAGTGTATTCAGGAGCAGAAAATTCATTCACCAGGGCAAAATATCATTTTGGCAAGTCACTGTGTGCTAATGCAGTTTGACCCGTGCTTTGGAATATTTTAAACTTGTTTTGCTAGGCCTGAAGATAAAGTTATACATATAATACCTCCTATTGTGCCACTCAACAGTGCCTCTGTTTCCTGGTTGTTCTTTCCTTACTGTACTGCTTACAGATCTTTTTCCTTGGACTTCGTTTCTCTCTTTTATGCTTTAAGCTTCACACCTTCTTTCATGCTGTCTCCTCCACTTTTAAAAGTTTCCATATTTTTATTAACCAAATACTCTTTCAGTATATCAGATACCTTCAAAACTGTCTTCCAAAAACGTTTCCTACTTTGGTTTCTCACATATAATCTTTTGCAAGCTTTCTTTATCTTTTCATTTTGCGTGTGTCTTGTCTTGTTTCCTAGACTTCTGTTTGATCCAGGTGAGTGGATTGCTGAATGGTTAACAGTAGGGATGCACTGATAAAGATTTTCATGGCCAATACCAGTAGCTGATGATTAACCAACCATATTGCCTGATGCCGATACGATAACTGATATTAAGCAATAGTGCAGGGCATTTTAACTTACTGACATAAATAAACCTTTTTTGTTTGTTTGTTTTTGTGTTCATAACATGCATGCACGCCTGTTTCCTGCTTCAGCCCTCAATGAGGAAGGCACACATTGTCCCCTTGCCCACAGCTACTACCTGCAGCCCTGCACTTCATGAAGCCCTTGCTGTCATCCTGGGTGGGCAGGCAGACACTTGTGTGGACAGCAGCACCAGGCTCATTTGGAGCCTCAGAGCACACCACTGCCTCAATGCCACCAGGCTCTGCACAGCTGAGCTCCTGTGGCTGCTGGGGAGAAGCTGCTTTTGCAAAGGTGCCCGTGGACTTGGACTGTCCCTTGCAGTGGCACCCGCACACAGCCCAATGTCTCCACAGTAGCCTCGGAGCTCAGGCCCTTGCTGGGCACAAGATATTGACTTGGCAGCAGCAGCAGAAACCAGGAACAGTCCCTTCGTTGCTGAGTGTGATGCCCTGTGACCACTCCCCAGTGCCCTCTTTCCCCTCCCACTGCTTGCCCAGACCTGTAGCCTGCTGTGGTCTTGGGCTAGCGGTGGGGCTTGGGGACTGGACTGTGCTCACCAGGGTGCTCTGGGCACATGGCCGTAATTATCATCTACAATGACCAAAAAAAGCCAATGGCTGATAATGTCATTTCTCCTTTTATTGTTGCTGATCTGATAGCCAACTGATATATCGGTGCATCCCTAATTAAGAACTTTAAATTTAGAATTTTTCAGGAAGGATTCTATGCACTGTTTGTACAGTTCATCTGAAGTACTATGTAAATGATTAATGCAGTATGCAAATATTAATATGAATACACAAATATTTATTAGAAATGCAAGTGTCAATAAAGACCTGCTGTTTATATCAACACCTGAATTAAAATCTGCATGGATTAGTGGTATTGGTATAGTTAAACTTATGTTTGAAATTCTCTTTACAGGCCTATTGGCGCTCCTGTGCCATGATCATGGCATGTGTGCTAAAGCAGGCATTCAAAGATGAATACTCAGTGAGTCTGGTCAGAGCTCCAGAAGTGCCAGGTAATATATAGGTTTTACAGATGACAAGTGTGTTTAGGCTGTGTTATGGGGAATATTTGGGAACTAGTACTGTGGCACGGCTAGGCACTCCTCTTCCTACTTATTGGAGCAAGTATCGTTCATACATTTCTAAAATGTCTCCTTGTAATACATAGTGCTCTATGCATGCAATTTAAATTCAAAGCAATACCTACACAGGGATCAGAATTTTATTGCCACTTTCTTTCCTCTCAAATTTATCCCTTCAAGGGTTAATCAGCCAATGAAGGTGGGGGTGACCTGACTGTAATATTAGTAAAAAAGTGGAAATGGGAATAGATTAAGGCTGAGCATTTCTGAAATCCATGCAAAGTGCTTTCTTGAAGAGGTGGTCTTGCACAGTGTCCTGATGCTGACAATAGGCAGGCAAGGTTCTTTGAGTAGATGTGATAACTTTTATTAGACCAACTGAGTAGTTAGAAAAAAGTTCTTAGCAAGCTTTCAGGCATAATCACCTTTCTTCAGGCATACGGAGTCTCTGCTGTTCTGATGCTTACAAGACTGTGCACCTTAATTGCTGCTTGCAGTAGGCTCTACAACTCTGAGTCCTCCAATAAGAGGATAGTAACCCAGGTTAATACAAGGTCTATCTTGGCCTCTTTCAGTTCAAGCAGACTTGGTGAATGCAGGTCTTCTTTCAGTGCTGAGCAGCGTGGTCTCTGAGAGAACTTGATCTCAATCCAGCTGGGGCTTTGCAGTCCTCGACTTTTACCTGATGAATAGCCAGCATGAAGTAGGAAGAACTGATGTTTCTACGTTTTCTCAATTATTCCTTGCCTGTATAATCACCTGGTAGTTTACTAGAGAACCACAATATATAACAAATTTAAATTATACAAGGAAACAGTTGCAATAAAGAAACATGCCAGGGAGGTTTAGTGTCAATTTGTATTCCAATGTGGTCTGGATTTTTAGGATTTTAAACTGAAAAAAACTTAGATGAGATCTCTTTAATGGTAAGGAGAGAAAATAGTAACTTCAGGAGAGGTTACTTATGTAGTGAAGCCTGAAAACATTTGGATGCATGACTAGGTATCTAGCCATAAAGGTGTGGCTTGTCCTGTTTTACACATCATAACATGACACCAGCTGACAATTCTTCACTATTCTTCAGAAGTCAAGGATTGTGAATATGTGGGGATGAAATAAGTGGATATGGAAGCCCTGCTTTATCCTGCTTTGGTACAATGGTAACATTAGGCATCTTGTGTTGCTGCTAACTGTGATACACTGCCTTTGTGGATAAATAAATAACTTTGCAGTTATATGCTGTTTGACTGGCACACCTAAGCAATAAGATCCACTTTACAAATGGCAAGTACAAAAATGCTCTGAAGTAGGAGAGGATCTTAGTTTGGGTCTTATACTTTGAGGGAGAAAAAGGGTTGAACACATTCCATAGGAAATATTGGAGACTTGATGTGACTTTGGGAGAATTGATATAGGCCATAATGTATGTATGTTACACTGTTACAAAAATGATAATATCCTTAGCATTGATCTATCGACATTGCCATGGCAACTTTTTTCAAGATGCATTCATAATCTGTGGTTTGATTTTTATAAAACCCAAACACTCCAGCTCTAATCAACAGATTTCATTTTGCAACCCTTGTTATATTTCTGTGACAGAAACAGCCTTACACTGGCTGTTGTTTATTCATGTAGCACAGTAAAATCTCTGTTATCTGGCATGAGTGGGATAGTGTGGGGGAGTGCTGTTTATCTAAAAATTCTGATTATCTGAGAGTTATACTCAAGGAAGACAGTGCCATACTTGTAGTGCAAATTTTCAAGAATTCGTGTACAATACATTACAGTATAACATACTGTATAAAAAGTAAAATAGTACACAGATAAAAATGCCATAATAGTTAGCCACCCCAAATGCCAGGGCAGCCCGGCTGCAGGGTGCTGCTGCTGCTGCAGCACGGGAAGGGGCATATGCACTCGGGTACCCTCAGAGCGACGCAGCAGGCAGGAAAGTGGTGCAGCACAATGTGCATACTTGGATACCTTCAGAATGGCGCAGCAGGCAGCAAAGCAAATAAGTCTTGTTTTTTTTTTTTCCCTTAATATTGCCTCTTCAGTGATTTCTGGAGCTTTCTGCTATGATGTAGTTCTGGACAGTGCACTTGATGATTGGAAGCCAGCAGAGGTAAGTGTAGGTTCCTTCTGTATTACATGTTATAAAGTAAAAACTGTCCAGTTTAGTCTTTCTTTGCTTCTGGAACCTTTCAAGGGAGCAGGCTTGTTTGCTAAAGATTGCAGGAGAGTGCAGAAATTTTTAATCTTGCTATCTGATCTTTGCAGGCTAACTCTGCACCTGTGAAGTATTGTGAAAATCAGTATGTGTGGTTAGCACACTTCTTTGCTTCCACTGTGGAGGAGACAATATATGCTTACCTAGAAATACTGAGTATACTCAGGTGAAATTCCCTTTGTTAGCTTGTGTGTATCACTTTTTAGCAAAGGGTCTCAGACTTATTAATAACATTTTAATCGTGCCTCGCAGCCTTTAAGTGAAATTAAATATAATTCACTGGGCAGGTACTACTCTGTTAAAATGTAGATAAATATGGAAAGAGGGGACACTATCAAAAAAGCGAGTCTTGCTTGTATGCAATCTGTTTTGAATTTGCTTACTTTAAAAGTTGAAAAATTCTAAAAAACAGGTTTAACTATCTTCAGCTTCTCAGTCCAGTAAAAATTTCTTTATTATTGCCAAATACTCTTGAGTACTAAGGTTTGGTTTTGTTCTATTTTATTTTAATTTATTTTTTGGAGAGGGCAGTTAGATTGTCTTATCTGTATTGTCCATTTCTTTTAATCTGTCATTGTAGAAGTCACTTGTAGGTAGAACTCTGATTGGTTCCTAGAAAAGTATTCATGAAATAACAATGGCAGGATTTTATATGGTTAAATGTTAATATGTTCAGGTACTATGTTGGAAGAACCTTTAAGGCACTTCACATTAGAGAGAATTCTCGAGTAATAAGTAATTTCTGGGGGGGTTTGGGGAGGGGGGTTGTTTGTTTTTTTTGGACCTGATGAATTACCCTTGAAGGCCATTGGTTGTACAGTACTGGTGATTGCACCTGAAAGCTTGCTGAGAACTTTTTTCCAACTACTTGGCT